GATGGATGGATGGATGGATGGATGGATGGATGGATGGATGGATGGATGGATGGATGGATGGATGGATGGAAATAAAGAAAAGTGAAATGCCTCAAACAGTAAGTGTATTTGTGTTTTCACAGACTGTGAAGTATCTTACACGCTACAAGCTGGAGATTACCAAAACGTCTGATGAATTCCAGCTCACTAAAGCTGTCGTCTGCAGACAGTTCGACAAAAAGGTTTGGCAGCATTTATTTATTTTTCATTCTCTGTCAGAGTGACACTACTGAACTTTATTTATTTGTTTTGTACCTTCCTTTTAGTTGGGACTTGTTGTTCCACTTCATGCATTGAATCTTCCATTCGAGCCAATTAAGGAGTTGGGCGAACACTGGTGTGAAATTACTGTAAGAACTGTTTTTTTTAATCAATGCATCATTTTCCTCTGTTTAGCATGAAGGCAAATTGAAACAACTTGAAAAATGTATAAATTACAAATTCTCTCCTTTACTTGTTGTTTGTGAAAAGGATTTTGTTCTAATTATGCAGCAGCTACAGGATGCAGTTATATTTATTGTTTATATGGATGTATTAGCAAAACCATTCAATTTTTGTCTGATCCGTTTTATTTATTGAAACACAATCCCTAATTTCCACCATTTTTCAAGGTRAACGGACTGGACACAGTTCGAATTCCCATGTGGCTGTTGCCGAACGAAGGCGTCTCTGCAAGCAGCCAGGAGGAGGCTGAGGCGGCGAGCGAAGCCTCCGTAGAGGAAACGACTTCAGGAGACACCCAGACAAGACACGACTCAACAGCACCACCAAGTGAAGGCCCAGAGAAAAATTAGGATTTAGAATTTGACATTTTTCTGATTGTTCAAAGATTTTTTAATTCTAAGTCCGAGGTGTTTTATCATTAAAAAGCAATGCAYTACTGCTGTTTATTTGTGCTTAAAATAAAAAAAGAAAAACTGTATTCTTGAGGTTTCACACCAAAGGTTATGRCTCATTGTTGACCAAGCTAAATAATAAAAACTGCCAACAGGTATTCAAAAGAAAAGAAGCAAGAAAAAACTCAGTTTTATTGATTTAAACTGCAAACACACAGTAAATAAAAAGTGGTACAAGTAACAGTTCAGATCAAAACATGAATTTGGAATGTAAATGTTATAAAACAGCACAAACAGCTGCTTGAGGTGAAGCATTTTACTTAATTTCTGTATTTTATTTAAATCAGATCAAAYTGTCAGAATTTAAATACTTATTTGCACAGTTAATTGTTGAGTTTAATTGTGTAAGATCATATGAAACGGTTGACATTTGGAGATTTTTTGCAAAATGCTACTTGAAATGCATAAAAACCTGCTACTGGAGCAATATCTTGTTTTGATGAAAGTGACCGTTCCCACTGATCCAGAAGGAAATATTAACTTCCCACAAATTAGATCTCAGCTGAAGAATTTCAGAGCCATACAAATACATAAATGCAGGTAAAATTAAATTTATTATTATTTTTTTTTATTTCAATGAATTTTCTGGTCTATAGTGCAGCCAAATAACTTGATAAAACTCATGTTTGGTTCTCTGGTACAAAGAATATCTAAAGACAACCAAATTGTTTTTATTTGTGACAAAGTTGTTGATTTCTTGAATAAATACTTAACGTCACAGCTTTCCAACAACTTCAGCAGCATGTTCCTACGTCTGATTCCCAGAGAGCCAAACATTTTTTTTCATGTTTTTTCACCACAAAAATACCTTTTAGTACAGAAAAATATGCATCCAAAAGGGGAAAAAAACATTTATAACAAGCACATTTATATTTCTATTACCGGTTGACCTTAAAAACKCTAGAAGGTTTTTTTTATTAGTGATTATATTTTGAGTGGAGTGGATTTTTAGTTCTATAAGAAAAAGTTTCAAACAAAACAGATGAATTCATTACAATAAAGAGTGGAGGGTAGAAAGAACCTTCTGCTTTGTTTATTTACATGTTGCTTCTAAACAGTTTTTATTTCCAGAGTATCTGAAAACCACTGCAGTCCACAGTGACGACCACTAGAAGCCGTATTTGGCCTGGGTCTGCCGGCGGGTTAGCCTGTTTTCTGCCCAACTGTTCTTCAGCTCCAATTCACGCTCCTTCGCCTGAAAAGTAAAAACATAGCGTCTATTTTTTTCCATCAGAGAAGCCCTCTGAGCTGTATGGGGAGTTGTACACAGAATTTTATTACATCCAGACAACTGGAAATAAATCATACTGCTCAAAAAGCAAGCGTGAGATGATGAGTGACAACTTTACGAGCCTGGGTGCGTGTGTGTGGTTTTAAACACATCATTCGTGCTTTGTGTTTGCTTACTCACCTGGTGGATGAGATAAGTTATCTGATGTTTGCGCCTCTGTTGTCCAGTGGGCTGTACTCCTTTTCTCTGCAGAAAAAACACATAAAAGTCGCATTAAAATTTGTTGTTTTTCTTTATGATAATAGAACATTTACATGAGATATGCTTCGATGTCCAGAAGATTCCCGCAGTCGTGTTTTTAAATGAACACAAATAAAACCACTGCGAGGACGACGGCTGATCGATTTATTATCAAAAAATAAAAGCTATGGAGACATATGAAATGCTAATAATGGTCTGCTTTTTTGAGCTAGTAATGTTTTTCTTCCTAAAAGTTACCATCAAAGGCTGCAAAATCTTTCATAAACGTGTTTAGGTGTAACCATTGCTCTAAATCAACCCGCTGCATAAAAACAAGCCAGGATTTTGGTTTTCCTAAAGTCACAAACACAACCCTGCCCATGCAAAACATGCAGCCACAGGCAGATCCACACGGGTCACCTTGCTGTACGACTGCCGGTTCTGCTTCTCCTCCGTCATGTTCTTGGTCATCCACTGCTGGTTGCCACTCAGCTGGTCGTCCCCTTTGATCTCCAGGAACTTCACCTCCTCCTTGCCTCGGTTTCTTTTCCCCTGCAGTCGCATGAACTGCAGAAAATCCATTGATGAGACGGTGTTCAGGAGAATCTACACACCATACGGTGAACAATTTAAAGAAAAGGCAAAGAAGCAGATTTCTTACAGCTTCATCGTCAAACATGGCGGACTGTTCAGGCTCCTCATCCTCTCCCAATCCAGGGTTAGGATCTTGGTAGTAGGGCTCATAGTACCCCTGAAACAAAAACATATAAAGCAGATTAATGTTAACTCCTTGCTAATTACACGTTTGTCTGCATCCAAACCTACTGGTTTTGTGCATGAAGTTGTAAAATAAATGATACCTGCTCTGAGCCTGCCACCGACTCTTCATACTGACTATATTGACCCTCCCATGCTCCTTCTGCACCCTGGCTCCCGCCAAAGTRGAGAGGGGCGTCTGACTGTCCTGGCTCACTGGCAGCTGAATAAGAACGGGTTTCAGCAGGAGGTTCTGGCTCGGGTTCTGGACTTGGGACAACCGCAGGTCGAGACTGGGAGCTCTCTTCGAGGGAGAAGTAGTTCTGTGGACTTATGTCCTCCTCGTCCTGCTCTTCTGTCGCTATTTGTCTAGCCACCTGCATGGCTGCAGACTTGGCTGCAGCTTTGATAGCGGAGGGAGAAGCACTGGAACCAATCAGGCCCTGAGAAGGAGCGCCAGGAGGTTTGGGTCCTTTGGCTTCTTGCCGTTTGGTGAGTGTATGAGGAATCAAAGGTCTGTCCGTCTCCTTCACCGTCAGGTTTTTGGGCTTTGGGAGAATGGAGGACAAGCCTGAACCTGCACCCTGGTGAAAACAAATATAACAGCGTTATTACCGTGTGCAGATGAGACAATAATCTATTCACAAACACTGATTTATTAATCTGCCCAGCTTGTAAATGTGGATTATTTTACAATCAACACAACAAAGTTTACCTGAGCTTTTAGTTTCTTCGCTGGTTCGTCATCATCAGAGTCCGACTGTAAATGAGAAATAAGAATTACAACCTGAAATCATACCACAACAGTTTAAAAGTACGATGGGTCTTTGCTGACTCACATCCCGTCTCTGGACCTGCGGAACATTGATCTTGACAGGCTCGGTTCGTTTCTTCGGCTTAGGCAAACTGGATAAGAAGGAGCTTCCTGTAGATAGCTGGGGAACTGAGTCATCCCTCGGCCTGTTGTCCCCTGCAGCATGCTTTGGTCCTCCCTTTCTGTCTGCAGATCCAGATGTTTTCGGAGCAGGCAGGACGGAGAACAGCCCCCCTCCACGGGGTACACTCTCCTCCGAGTCACTCTCATCACTGCTGCCATAAGCGACTAAYGACATGTTTGCTGATGTTGAGGATTAGAGAACCTGCAGGACATTGGATGAGCACTTTGGCACGAAGAAGCCGCACTCGCACCGACTTATTCGATCAATCAACTTCAAATAAAAGGTACGAAAATATTTCCTGACTACAGCCACGGTGATAAAATAAATTAAAAAAAAGAAAAAAAACGCGACCTGCTGATAAGATTATTTCAATGAGAGCGCAGAGCTAAAATGTTAGCAAAGCCACCGTCTTCACCTTATTACTCACCGCTTTTTTTCTTATTTTTATTCTTAACTAATATTGCGCATAATAAATTACACCATGATACGATACGGCTTGGTGCTATCACACACTTTAACGTGTTGTTGCGCCAAGAAAGCGAGTTCGTTAGTCCCTGAACTGCTTCAAAACACTCGCCTCCATCATTAGCAATGAGGACAAGGCGACTTCCTGTGAATTTTAACGACAACAAAATGTTACTGCGCCCTCTAGTGGAATAAGTGCAAAAGATGTTGTTTTTTTAATTTAAAAAATGTTTTGGCGCCCCCTTGTGGAGTAGATGTGAAACGACTTAAATCTGAAAACTCACAGAAAGCGACCTTTTATTTTTTACTTTTCATTAGTGTAGTTAAGTTTGGCATCTTTGCTGTGTATAAGTCAAAACTGGGTTGAAATTATTTATAAATAAAATAGCTACTAGGTTAATTTTTAGTCCAATAAAATAAAAG